ACCTCCTTCTGTCGGACTGGCTAACTTCATACTTAGCTTCTTCAGCGCGAACATCAAGTCCGGTCTCTCTGGAGCCAAATAGAGAAGTATTCCTACTCCTCTTCGGTACAAATGGTGGTCCTCCGGTGTCAACGGAGTGTCTGCTCCTTTCTTGTTGTTGATTGCTCTTCCACCATCTGCGGGAATAGGAAGTTTCTTTGAAATGCCTTGTCCAACTGAAGCACTTCCTCTAACGACTCCACGTACTTTGCATTCATAGTGATCTCAACTCCTTCTAACGTGGCCGTAAAAGTTCTCTTCAGGAAACCAATTGATCCGTGATTTCTTTCTAAGGGTCCTTCTACCTTCACTTTAAGACCTTCTGCCTTCAACTTCTTCACGGGATCTTCAAATCCTCTTTTCGCTCAAATACTTCCAGGTCGTCAACATGGGAAAGTATGATGATTCCGGGTTTTCCATCTTTCGGCAATCGATAGAACAATGCTGGTAATCCATCATCTGACTTGAGTCCATGCTTCTCAACGATTCCTTGCAACTTGTTGAACCATGNNACTCATACCACTCGCCATCCACTTCAACAATTGTTGGTTCATCTTGTTCCACTTGGAGATAAGCATCGCCAGTATCTACGCTTCCAAGGCTGTACTGATCTGTCGACACAAACAACGCTGACAACAACTTGACTGTCGACGCAACTCCTGTTGGTGAAAACAACGCTGCTAAGTCGTAATCTGTCAACCAACGGAATTCTCGCGCTACTAGTCTTCCTCGTCGCTTCCATTGTCCGTCTCTATGTCTCCAATCGTAGACAATCTTCGTAGAAAGATGCTTGTACCTTCCGTTTGCGGCTTGTGCTTCACTCATCGGCTTGAGGACTTTCATATCCATCAATCTCTCAATCTCGGTCTTTCTTGACTGCCGATCAACTGCTTCCAACTCATGCTCTTCCAACTTCGGCGGTCCTTCTTCAAACTCGTGAGACCAAGTCGGAACTTCTTCATCCAACGTCTCTTCACCGTCGTAATTTTCAACGACTTCCTCTTCATCTTCAATCTCAGCTTCTAAGCCTCCAAACTCTTCAATGTCAACTTCTTCGTCGTCGTTGTACTTAAGTTCTTCTTTCTTGAGGAATTTCTCAACATCTTGCACACTCTTCAAGCTGCACACTCTTCTAATTCTTGCTCTAAACTCGCTTGACGCGCTTGACGTGCTCATTGGGTCATCGTCGCTCAAAGTTCTTATCACGGCATTTGCTCTCATATCTTCAGCTTCAGAATCCGTGAATCCTGGCTCAGGCAATCTCACTTTGCTTACTTTCGGAAGCTTTTCCGGTCTTTCTTCAACGACTGCCGGTGGTTCTTCAATTCTAATTCTCGTTGGCAAGGGTTCCGTTGATCCTCTCGCTTCAGCTCCTCTCTTCGTCGGACTCGGCATTCCGCCTTCATCCGCTACCAGTTCTTCTGAGCTTGCAGTTCCGCCGGATGCAGAACTTGTCGCTTTTCTCTTTGTACCTTCGCCTGGGTCTTCATCATTTCCATCATCATCACCATTGTCATCCTCATCAAATGATGGCTGGTAACCTTCTGTTGGCGTAGCGTCACTAGCTGCTTGCTGGCGAGGGCTTCTTGGTGCTGGTGGTAACGCTTCAATTCCTCTGTGAGGAGGTAGTCTTGGCTGGTGCTTCCTTGTCACGACTTGCTTTTGGTTGTGACTCCAAGGCGTTCCACATGCTTCAAACATTGTCTCAATGTCAAATGTGGGAGTGCATCTTCTCATTGTTCTTGCCTTGATGATTCCTGTCGAAGTACTCACCAAGTTGGCATTCGACACATGATCTTTTCCAACGAAGATTCCTTCTTCCAAGGTTCTCCTTTCTCTTTCACTTTTGGAAGCGGTCTTGCTAAGACTGTGCTTCCCCAAGGTGCTAAGGCTCCTTTGTACTCTCTGTCAAACAACACTTCGAATGGAGTCTTTCCTCCTTGAACAACAAACCTGTTCAGCAAGAAACACGCATGTCGCGCTAACCAAGGGTATAGCGTGCTTTCTGAAGTAATCTTGACTTTTGCTTCGTTCTCTGCTGAATACACCAGGGTCTTGGACAAATTTCTTACCGTTTGTACCCATCGTTCAACTTGCAACCCTTGATGCTCATCAGGAGAAACATCCTGAATCTCAGTTTCCAACTTGTTCATTTTTCTTATCAACTGAACTTGGTTGATCCCTGGAATGCTTAAGACTCAAGCATTTCCGGGGTCGAAGGGCGGTGCAGAAGTTGGTGCGCTAGCTGGGGTCGGAATCCATGATGTTTGGGGTCTCACGCATGATTTCTGGGGTCTCCTGCGTGATTTTTGGGGCCTAATCGATGACTTCTGGGCCTTTTCTGTTGATTCCTGGTGCGTCTGGCTGGGGTGATAGAAGTTCAGAATTGGGGTGATCGAATGTCAGAATGCAATGAAAAATAGCATGGTGTGACACACGCATGCACGATTCAGCCTTTTTGTTGCGCTCATCCGCTACCCTCTGCTGAGTCATCATCGTCCGTATCCAGACCTGACTCGGGATTTGCACCAGCGCACACGCGCGCTGGCAAGTCGGAGGGAGCCAGGCGGAGCTCGGGCCGTATGCTCATCAAAACCTGGAGTGCCACAGAATCATCAACATAGAATATGACGTAGGCAACATTTCCGCTGACTGCACTTGATGATTCATAATTTGGCCGAGCGACTGCACACATACAGCCACCAATCAGCGGAACACTCATCGCATTGCCTGACCAACAATTTGCCAAGGCAGCTGCGCCACACAATCCCGCACCTCACGCACAAATTGTACGCCAAGCCTGCTAGAGAACGATAGAGCGTCAACTTGGCACGTGGAGGCCAGCGGAGCTTTTTCAAGTCAAATCCATGCCTGAAGCAAGCAAACTCACAATTGGATCTCTCCTGCCATTCCCAACTAATCAGATGCCGAACACCGATACCAATGCAACTTTCACAATTCTGAGCCCAACACAGGGCCATCAAGGCTCTGTCTGTGAGCATCTCCCCGCTGGCATATGAAAAGATGCGGCTGTTTGTTGTCAGCCTCAGCTGTGATTCATGTTAGGGTCCACGTGGTTTAGGGTTTTGCCGCTTGCATGGTTTAGGATTTAAGTTAGGCTTAGGATTTGGCAGGGGCGGCATGTATAGTGACTCAAAAATTGCTTGGACATGATCAGCAGCGTTGGGCTTAGGCCATCCAAGCGGAACTGCCGGCGAGACACACTTTTTTCGCCAAATCAGCAACCATGTTGTTGCGCAATCTACCATCAGATCTCCCCTCAGCCTAGGTTTTGGGGTTTCGGAATTTTAGTTTTAGCTTTCAACTGCAGGGTGCAGCATAACTCCCAAGTCTCAGCACACTCACTACACTAAATAACAGCCATAGCCGCAGCTGCGGCCCACAACTGGTCCATGCGACCAATCTCCGCGTCACTGAAGTCATGCTTCCATGAGTTTCCACGTTGCTGGATGCAGTGCTCCGAATACCTTTGTCCTTGCATGGGCTGCCCAAGATCGGAACGATGCAAATCACCACGCTCCTAGGCTCAATCACTCATTCTGGAAAATGCGCAGACGTCATCACATCACTGCAAGAAGGACTGAATCCACAGTGGTGACTCGCAATGATGGCTCCCTATGATATTGAAAAGAAGCATGCGGCATGTCACCTTTGTCTCTCGTTCCCCTCTTTGAGTGGGCTGCGCAGCTGCGTCCGCCCGCGGTCTGTGTAACGTGTATCGTTACCGTCTCACTGAATGGCCTAAAGCGGCCTCAACTAAAGCTAAACTCAGATGTGGAGTTTTGCGTGGCACTCACGGATCACTGATGATACAGATACATCATGCACCGATGCCGATATGATTTACTTGCAGCTGAGTACTCCTAGGAAAAAACGTGTGGTACAATCCTACACTCAGGCGCTCGCAACTCCAACTCCATAGCACAGGACCGTGTCAAAGCTACGGGTAGCAAAGAGCACGCTGTCTCATGGTCCAAAAGTGCTCAGAGTCTCTGAAATTCACTACTTCGTGGCTTTGCCACCCTTGAACTCTTTGATCAACTTGTCGACTTGCCCGAAGTGTGGCGGGTAGTCCGCCTTCTTGGACAACTTCACGTGCTTCTTGATAAACTTCTCCATCTCGCCCGCATCTGCAATGGCCTGAGACTTTGCCTCCGCCTTCTGCTCTTCGCTGCCGGACGTGAAATCGCGATGCAACATTTGGTGACACATGCTGGCCATGACTCCCTGTGCGAAGCCAAGGGCAGACGGCAAGCCGTGGTGGAACTCGTCTTCCAACTTTTTCAACTTGGGCACGTCGCCAAGCTTGCGCAAATCCGCCTCCCACACAATAATAGCCGACGCCATGTCTGAGAGCGCAAACCAGTCATCCATGCCTGCGCGCAGGTGAGGGTTTACGGTTTAGGGTTTCGGGTTCAGGGTTTAGGGTACAGGGTTCAGGATTTAGGCGGGTTAGGGTTCAGGGTTTAGGGTTCAGGGTTAACGGGTTAACGGTCCGGTCTAGCAGTTCAGCCTTAGGGATGAAGGTTTAGGGTTAAGGGCAAGGGTTTCGGGGCAATTCAGGCAAACACCTCCCTCACACACAAGCAAAAGACATCCCCTGGCCGTCAGTGGCAGTTGAGATCTCCTCCGAGATGAGCCCATTCACCAAGGTGAGAACCTTCTTCGAATCTGTCTCTGCAAGAAGCTCACGCAAAGTCGCCCAGAGCTGGGACCTCCGAGCGCGATTCTCCTTCCACCCCTCCATCACGCGATCCATGGTCTTGTCCAACTTGGCTGCCAAGCGCTCGTAGGCCTCGTCCAATCCCGGCAGAGACAAGCTACTCTGCTTGGCCGCCTGCAAGTCCATGAAGGCAGCCACGCCTGCCTTCACAATCGGTCTTGGTCCAAGTGTCTTCAAAGAAGTAGCTGTTCGTCTTATCCGAGGGCAGCCCGGCGAAGTGGACGACCCGCGCGGCGCGCAGGTGTCGGTCAACAACTGGGCCAAGCGCTGTTTTGGCCGAAGAATCCAACTCAATCAGCTCTGAGACGCGACCCTCGCTCAGGAGTGCGCGGCACCAAGAGTCGGGCAAGTCCTGCTTCCGCTGCACAAAATGTGTCTTCAGCAAGATCACAAGTTGCTCAAGGCCGTTCGGCAGCGTCACCTCCTCTTTGGTGCCTGAGGCCACACACACACACGCACTGTTGGCTAGGGCTAGCACTGAGCACTGTTAGCACTACGCAGCCTACGCCACACTGCTACACACAAGCACTCCAGTCACTTCCAGAGCCCCAGCTTAAAATACCCGCTGACAAGAACGTGAATCTGAGGTCAACGCACTCCTCCAGACCAGTGGACAGGTTGGACAAGAGCTTGGCATTTGGCAGCTTTTGCAAGCCGTGCGCTGCCTTGGAGAATGCGAATGGGTCTAGTCGAGTAATATTAGTCTTAGTCTTAGTCTTAGACTTAGTAGATAAATAAAAATGTATAATGTAGTATAGTAGTTTATAGTCTAGTAGTCAGTAATTGCCTTGCGAACGTGAAACCCTTCCACCTGGCAGCCTATCACTGAAAGACTCCGCCTGAGCCTGAATCACACATTTATTTACGACGGCTATAGGCTATAGGCCAGGCTATGAGACTGCAGTCATTGTCCGGAGTCATTTTCAGATCCCGCATGCCTGGTACGCTCTGGCCACACGAACGAAACCCTTTAGCATCTTCTCATTCATCTCTGCCGGAAGCGTTGCACCCTCAGCGGCCAGCACATCACGCACCTTCATGAGGAACGCAGACCCACGCGTGTCCATCAACTGCTGCATCAGCGCCACGTTCTCGCGGAGTGTTCGCACACCCTCATTTGCATCCACATCGGGGAGCTGCGGAAGAACACCCACCTGAAGCTCGCAACTCTTCGCATTGACACATGCATCCACGTGATCCGTGACGGAGAAGAACTTGGCGAAGTCGTCAGCGGAGGTCACAGCCTTCAACTCACGTGCCAGAAAGGAACTCGCCAGTCTGGCGCACTGCTCCAATGCGAGCTGAGGGGAAATGCTCTGGCCTGCCGCGGCCTGCATGGCAGTCATCAATGTCCTGGGCAAGATTGGAGACGCATTACTCATCACCCGAACAATGGCAGTTTTTGCGGGGTCTATAATTAAATATTTTTCATGCCCTCCTGCATCCGAGATGCTTTCCCAAGCCCATGCGCAAGTATGTGCTCAGCTTGCCCGAGCACAGTTGCTTGCGTTCCACAGCCTCCTTCGCCAAACGGTTCTCATTGGGATTTCCTCCTGCACCCTCCTGCGCAGAAGGAACATACAAATGATCCAGCACAATTTTTCAAATCACTCGCTTTGGGGCTAGGCTACAGGACACAGAATGACTCACTCACCCTAAACCCTGAGCCTCAACCCCTAAACCCAGACCCCAGACCGAACCCTAAACCCCAGTATATTATGATATATCATATGATGTCAGAATCATACATCATAAATACAATAATGTACATATCAATACACGCTAGACTTCCTAAACCGTTCGCCTGATGGTTTTTAATGGGTCTCTCATCGGATTCATAGAGCACGGCCCGGCACAAACCTTTAACATATGTCACAAATTTGAGACAATCTCCGCAAGCAAGGATGCAAGGTTGGTCCTGGCTCCACTTCGTGCAAAGCACGCGCAGAACCTGCACATCGAAGCGCACCGCGTCCGTGAACTGGTCCTTGATGTCGAAGGCCGTCTGCTCCGTGGTGAAGTCCGCCGGCAACGCCACTAAGTCCAGCGCCGGGACCGGAAGCCTGGGAGGCGCTGCATGCTCACACACCGCAATGCCTACAGGGGCCTACAGTCTACAGACACCAGGAGTACGATGACTTGCCCAGCAGCAGAGCCACCAAGTTTCGCAGCCGATCTGGAGATTTGACCTTGAACGCTTTCTCCAGCCACATGTGAAGCATCTGGATCTGAAGATTCATCGTCTGCTGCATCGCACCACCAGTCATGGCATGATAGCCGAGGCAGAAGCGAGAGCCATCCTCTGGCCTGCGCCCGGTCAGCAGCTTGAAGAACAGCACAGTCTTCTCGTCGTCCGTCTGGGCCATGTAGGTTGCAGTTTGAGTTTTGGGGCTCTGGACTGGACTCATTGAAGTTAGGGGTTTACGGTTTACGTGAGCTGTACTGGCCTACCCATAGGTCTGGGTGTCAGCTGGGGACCATGTTTTTTTTAAAGGGATTCTGAAAACCGTACAGCATACACACAATCCTCCACATCCTTCAGTAGCACTTAGGCCGTCCACACCAGCAGCGTTGCCACGAGGCTAGGTTCCATCTTGCGAAGAAGCAAATTCTCGTCCTCGCTCATCTGCTCAATCATGAAGTTGGCAACATTCTGCCGCAAGCGGGAGAACATTGAGTACCCCACCGAAGCATCCGACGCGAGCTCCAGCAGTGTCTGCTGCAGGTCGCTGGCTGAAGCATCCCCTGCTAGCTTCGAGGCCGCATCCTCAAGCGCCTTGGACGCTGCAGTGACAGCGCGCTGCTTCGGCTTCTCACTCCAGATCGACAGAAGACTGAATGGCCCACGCTTCTTCTCCAAGATTGTCTGAGCTTTCTTGAAGTTAGCCTGGCAGGCAACTGTGGAATCTGTGGGAGGCGCTACGTAGTACTGCATGTAGTAGCAAGGTCTTCTCTTGCTATTGTGTGCCCTGTGAGGACTCGGGCTTGGCAAAATGTACAAGGGAAGCATCATATAATCAAATCATATCATACGCGTAACACGCACTAGCTGGAGACGTAAATCCAAACCTGAGACCCCAAATCCTATAGGCCCTACATGAGGCCTTAAAGCGGGGTCGCAGGGAAGTGAACACAGGTTTCTGAGGTAATGACCGGCGCAGGTAATGGCAATATGAACACAGGTACTGACTTGGCATGATTCAGCACTGCGGCCTGCGCAAAAAGGGACGACTACATTCTAGCAAACATACAGCATGTCGCATCACCAGACCAGACATCACACAATAAAATCAGACCACATCATCGCAGCATATCAGCATATCAGCGCAGCGTATCAGTCATGTCATGTCATGTCATTCGAACACCCATGCGCCCTGACCCCTGCCCCTTGCGCTGCAGTCCGCTCAGCCCCAACAAAGAGAGATGGCTGCTGCTGCTGCTGCTGCTTGCCTCGCTGGGGTCGCGCGCTCAACTCAGGCTTGGGGCTCATGGGCTTCTCGGGCACAGGGCTGGGTGGGATGTCAGACATTGGCGCCGCTAGACCGTTGCGGCTTCGCTTGCTGGCACCGTTGCCACTGGAGTGGTCACCGCCACCCTTCTGCCGGCCCCCTTCACAGAGCCTGCCTGGCTCCGTGCAGCACCAGCTGCGAACGAGAACATGTCGCCTTCCTGGCTGTCGGACTCCTCGCACTCGGAAGGCCCGCCCACGGAGGACGCTGCCATCTCTTCAGGCCTGGCATTTGCCAGAGTCGGTGCCATTCGGCCGCGGTAGTCTGCAATGGCTTCCTCACAGTGCTCTTCTGACTGCATGGCATCGCGCAACGACGCCGTTGCCTGGCCGGCTGCTGCTGCTGCCGCGGCAGCTGCACTGGCTCGATCATGCTGCTCGTCCTAGTCAAACTACAAGGCGGCAAGGCGGCTTAAGTTTCAGCACGAGTAGGACTTGACAAGAATAATTTATAGGCATTTATAGGATTTATAGGGGCTACAGGCAAGGGGCTAATGGCTACGCGCAGGGTCAGGGGCATCCCATATCATACGGCACCACCCGGGCCCTACCACCGCCCCGCGCCCGCCCTACGCACCCCGCCGCCACGCGCGCCCGCATTCTCCCTCCCTTCCTGCGCACGAACCCACACTGTCCTTGGCCTGAAGCTTCACCTGCCGACCGCCCATGGCCGTCACCACGCTCACTGTTCCACGGTCGTCAACCAATTTCAGCTTCAGCTCCTGGCGCTGCGCAGTGGAACAGGACAGACAAACACAATCTTGTTGGGCTTACGTAATCCATGGGTTAACTAAGGAGTTTGGAAGCCGAAGCTGGAGAGACAGGAGCAAACGGTGCTTTCCATTCAGCATGCGGCAGGCAACCCCTGCTAATAACCATGGTCACCTGAACCTGCAATGAGCACACCGATGACATAGGGTTTAGGTTCAGGTTTCGGTTTAGGCGTCAGGGTTCAGGGTTCAAGTTCAAGGTCACTGGCTTCGCGACGTTCACGCTGTCTCTACACAAATCAACGACTAGCCTCTCATTTGTAAACAAGTGCCATGCTTCAGACAAGACAAAAAAAACCGCCGCGGCAGCAGCAGTAGAAGCAGCAGCGGGCAGAATAAGAGCAACGGAGTAGTTGGCATCCCAGATCGTTCAACACACAGCCTACAACCTGCGAAGCCTTTGCCCTGTCCTACTGGCCCTACTCACCCAGGCAGCCCACGCTGGACTCGGACCACAAAAACATTGGCGTCGACATTCATTATGAATCAAATCATATTCTTATATGATATTACTGCCCTAAACCCTAAACCCTAAACCCTATTACTACTAATTACTATACTATACTATACTATCTATTACTATTTACTATTTACTATCTTGAAATACGATGCAAACAGAATCCGATCGTCTATGTAGACCATTCAAGCCTGCAGCTTTGCTGTTTTTTAGATTACTGGCACCCACCCAGCAACCTACGAATCTAGATTGTAGGTTGCAAACCGACCGCAAGTAACGGAGCACGGAGCACCGTCAAAGAAGTCAATCATTCAATCCCGGGTTAACATGGCCCTGCCTCAGTGGCAAAGGAAATCTGTTTGGCGCGATCGCCGATCTCCGCCGGCACAAAGCCGTTGTCCCGAAGCCACTCGTCCAGCGGAGTCACGCGCCCCACGTTGAAAAACTCAGCGAAGTTCTCCTCACGGCTGTAGGACGAGTAGGCCAATCGCTCATGTTGCCGCTTACGTCCGCCACCCTGTGGAGCGGTGTTCACGGCACGCTTGTCCTCCCAGGCTGACTTCGCCTCCTGCAGTCCCGCGGACACTCGGCTGAAAGGAGCTAGCATGGACAGATCACAGATCACATTCCAATCATGCAGGACACGCACTTAATCTGTCACATATGACACGCGCGCAACATAGACCAGTGTGCTACATCACAAAACATGAACCATCCCGCACTGTCTTGCCAGGATTACAATGACTAATGATTACTATGATGATTACTGCGATTACTCTGCCTAGAGCCCATTGGGTCCGGGTTGTTCGCGAGCATGACGTTCAGCTGCATCTGGGTCACGCCGGCAAAGTTGTAGGTCCGAGTAGCCTGCAGGGAGCTCTGCTGCTCTGCTCTTCAAGTCCATACATTGGCCATGTGACTATAGAATACGTCCGTGCCTACTTCACAAATAGAAATTGCACAACCTACTGATAGATACCGGATACCAAGAAAATAGGTGACATACTGAAGGCAATAGGCTAGTCGAAGAGTAGATAATCACGAATGTACATTTGCATCGCGTCACATGACAGCCAGATCTGCAGAAACGGTGGAAGAACGTGCAAGCAAGCAACCAGGCAATGACCACACTCGTGGCCCTGCTCAAGGTCGCGGGGGCCGGCGGCCGGTATCCTGCAAGTTGGCACGGAACATTCCAGAACATGATGTACTAGAGAAGTAGACTTAGTACTTCTCGATGTCAGACTGATTCAGGATGACACCATCTACAGACGCAAGCAGCAGGTAACGCGGCCCAGGCCACCACCTAATACCTTAGGTTGCCCCCCCACCCAAGATAAAGGTAGTCATATTGGGGTCCCTATATAGCCTATATGCCTATAGCCTATGGGGCCAAACCCGAACTATACTTCTCCAAGCATGGGAAACAAACGCGCAGGAAAAGTCCTGGTTCTTCGCCTTCTTGGGCCAATAAAGAATGCCGCCCTCGGGGTGAAAGCGATCAGGCTCGCGGGCTTTGTGATGGCATGTGGCGCAGGTCGGCGCACACCACGCAGAAGCGCACGCGGCCTTGCTCGCACGCTGGCACCCGCTCTCAATCGCCGAGGCATCTCGCTTGGACATGCTGTCGAATGGGATGTCCGCACGAGTGCAATTCCAAGTCAAAGGTGGTTTCTACTCACACACACAAATGGCTCGCCTCGGAGCCAGCACGACAGCAGTGGACATTGCAATTAACAAGAATTGTGCAAAATCAACAAAGGTACGTTCAAAATTGCCGGGCAATCGGCTCACAGCAGATGAGCTAGCTTGGGACAGGCAATTGCAAAGTTGCACAGCTCCGTCCGTCCGAGATTCCCAGAGCCTAGAAAAAGAAAAGAAAAGTTACAAATTAGAAGTTAGAAGTTAGAAAGTTAGAAGTTAGAAGTTAGAAGTGACATCGCTGAAATTGGTAGAGAGAACTTGAAGCATGAGTCATGAAGATAGCAGAGCGGTTATGACTCAAGTTATGACTCACGTATGAAGGAATGACGTATGACTGAAGGCACAAGTGCCATTGATGGAAAAAGTCAAGGATGCTCTGTAACAGAAGGCTGGTCCGTGACGCGCAGGCCAAGGCCAGAAATCAGACGTGCGCAACCGGCCGCGGCAACGGAGAGCGCAGGCCTCAGCCAGTGTCCCGGAACTAAACAGATGAAGTCCCAGACCCAGACGCCATCAAAACAACCCCGCATGCCTAGATGTGACCAGATGGACTTGATTAATTCTCAGTTCCGTGTTTTTGGTTTGAGCTGTCTGTGGCAGGAGAAGGACGGGGAGAGAAGGACCAATCCCTATACTTCTCGTCTTACGCATCCGTTTAAAATTTATAGCTCATGCCTATGCCGCGTATTTATCCTTGTGAATCACCCTATGCCCCATTTTTCCCCAGATTCGGGCCCGGAGGCACCCGTCGCAACCCGTCGGAACCCCGCTTTTCAAGCTGGGACCCGATGGGTTCCGACGGGTTACACGCCCCGGGGTGGCTTCGGGCTCAAATGGGGGCGCCGGGCTCCCTTCGAGGGTCGAATCTGGGGCGCCGGGCTCCAAAAGTGGGGCGCAGTCTGGGCCCCGACCGACGGGTTTCGACGGGTTCCGAGGTTGCGTGGGGCGCCGGGCTCCAAAAGTGGGGCGCAGTCGGGGGCTCCGACGAAGGGTGCCTCGGGCCCGAAAATGGGGCGCCAGGCCTCGAAACGTGGGGGGCAGGAAGTAGGAGTCATAGGGTGATTCACAAGCAGAAATAGACGGCACAGGCATGGGCTGTAAATTTTAAACAGATGCGTGAGACGATCCAGTATAGAAGTAGGGACTGGCCCTTCTCTCTCCGTCCTTCTCCTGCCACGGACAGCTCAAACCAAAAACACGGGACTGAGAATTAATCAAGTCCATTTGGTCACATCTAGGCATGCTGGGTTGTTTTGATTTCATAGCGTCTGGGGGACTTCGGTAAAAAAACTGTTGTGTTCCGGAGCACTGGCTAAGGCCTGCGCTCTGCGTTGCCGCACGTCGGCCTGTTGCGACGTCTTGTCACGGACCAGTGTCCCCTAGACAAGTACCACTGCTAGTCTTACTACTATTCTTCGTCGTTGCTCTCTCTAAACCCGACAGCCTGAATCCTAATTCTTAACTATACTATAATACTATAATACTAACTAACTACTCATCAGAAGTCAGGATCGTGCTCATTGAGTCACAGTCGATTCTGACGATTCTAATCTAAAAGCAATCTCTCCATGTGGCAATGCCAGCATGCAACGCGCGTGGCTACCCGCCTCGCCTCTACTTACTGCTGCATACCCTGCGACGCCTATAGCCTATAGCCTATAGCCTACTGGGCAAAGTCAACCAATACGGTAATACGGTAGTTATACTATAATACGGTCAATACGTTCTGCGAATGGCAGCAAGCAAGAACCCAAGACTCCCGCATCCAAATCAAAGCTCCGTGCATCCGTAAGCTTGCTATAGCTCATGACTCCTAACTCATGACTGGCGAAATGCACCGAGCAGCGCAACAACAACTCTCACACGCAGATGAGGCTCTCGGCTCTCGCCTGCTTCGGCAAGACCAGCACGAGCATAATCCAGGCAACCGCGCACTGAAGCCAGATGCGAACCTTCACTTGCACGGTGGAAGGCCCGCAGCAATGCATCAATTTGATCCTTAGATGCAACGAAGATACTCGCTGCCCTTGCATATCCCTTGCATGATCCTCGTCCAAACTCCACCGACAACATTGCAGCAGGACATGCGTCAAACTTGCCCTCACAAACCATGGGACGAGCGCAGAGGCGTCGGCCACGCTCTTGTGGACCATCACGAAGTACAGGCGGTTGCGCCTCTGCGCCAATCCAAAATCAGAACTCCTGCGCAAGACAAAGTTGGCGGCAAGTTTCATATTTTAAAGTTGGCACAGGGAGCGCAAGGAGGAAAACAAGCAGCTTGGGGTGACTTCAGGCTCAGGGTTTCGTGGGGAACTTCAAAAGACTATACCCACAGCATTCACGCAGTAGATAACAGTAAGGAAGGTACGTAAATTCTACATTGCAATACGGCCCGGTCTTAATACTAGACTACCGCACTGACTGAGCAGATCACTGACTCATGACAGGACTCGTCATACTTAGTCAGCATGACCACATGGCGCACGCCGAAGGTCTGGCTCCTCAGCGGAAACACTTTCAAGAAGTAGTTCGGAATCAGCTGCAAACCCACAGGCTCCGGAGCAACTCCTGCCTTGCGAAGGTAGCCCTGCGTGACGTAGTCGTAAGGGCACTGCGGAGGCACATGACTGCTGGCAGACAACATGAAGTCAGGAAAGATAACATCAGGCAAGCAGTGCATGCTGCCACGTTCTGCACATGTTTTTCCTGCTGTCACTGCTGTCCCCTGCATGAAGCCCGTTCTTGCACGTACTTTAGAAAGAGCATAGGTCCAGGGCGGAAGCTGCCAACTTTAAGCTTGAGGCTTCAGGTTTCAAGCTGTAACGCCTCTTGTAGTGTAAGTTGTACCGCACCGGACCTTTGAGAGAGAGCTGTTGCACTGCAACTTGCCTAGCGCCAAAGAAAAGGCGCCCAGAAACACGACATATCACATGCAAAGATCTTGAAAGACCTGACAGACCTGATCCTAAATGTCCAGGCCGATGAACGAATTCACAGAAACACTTCGATGCCAACTGCTTCAGGCAGGCATTAAATTAGACCTAGACCGTAGCCTAGACCACACACAAATCCTGGAGCGCTTGCCGACATGCGGCTCTTGGTTCGTCACAGGTTCTCTCCGCCAACTTCCGCAAGGTTTCCACAGAAGGCTGCAGATTTGCGGATGGGATCAGCGCCACGCATGTGCAGTGGATGCTACGGGGTGGTTTGGAAAGCTTGCGCGCGTATGAGAATTTCATGGATCCCTTTGGGATTGCACTCTCGCACAAGAAACAAACAAGTCTGTTCTTCTGCGCTCGGCTAACATCCTGTACGCCAAGTGAGGACTGGAAGCGTGAACATGCCTGACGGGCTGAGGGCTCCGGCACTGGCGCAGGTGCACGGCTGCAGCTGCTGCTGCTGCTGTTGCTCACACCTGCACCGGGAATGTCGTCCTGCTCCTTCATCAACGACTGTTCTGCAGCTAATGCTTCATCCAGCTCTACCTGGGCCGCCCCTGGGAGATCAGCGGGGAAGGCATCTTCGCCGTGCCTGCAGATCAGTGCGCAAACCCCGGACACATTGACAGAGATTGGGCGGACCGAACCCTGCCCCGCCTGCTGGCAGAAGTGTCAGTCCCGGCCGGCACGTGCGCAGCATCTCCTGTATCGTCCACTTGGCAAGCGGAAGATTTTGATGTCGGCTTAGGCTTGCCCTTTGTAGGTGGTCGAGAAGAAGGCGGCATCTTCAATCCAAAAGGCAAGCGTGGCGTTACCTTCTGTTTCGGAGCCGGCGCCATATAGCATTGTCTGCCAATCCAGAAACGATGCCGAGCCTCACCATGTCTCATGACGAGCTCAGACTCATCATGAACGCAAGTGAAGTTCGGGTACCATGACACCTGACAAGCGCACGGCAATGCCACAATACCGCTCTGCTAGTAATTAGTAATAATAATAATAAGTCTATTAACATGCATCATGTAATGTAACTCTAACGGCCCATGAACTTACACTCAGAATGACCCAGCGCTGTATCATGTATCTGTGAACCCTTGCCTGCAACCGGAGGTGATCCAGCTGAACATCTTCCGGGTGGGCAGACAGGTGCGCACGGACCAGCCCCAGGAACAACATTTGTGAGGTGCAAATTTTCGGCGCGCCGTTCGTGACGCTAGGTGCCACTTGGCCAGCTTCTCGCAACCACAGCCGCAGCATGACGCGCAGTATCGGGCGTCGGCAGACACACCCCTGCAGCAGCCAAACCGAATCTCCGTCAGCGACACCACCAGTGCGGACCTGGACAAGTAGAAGCATGTTGCCCAAACGCTTGCTTTGCAATGTCTGATCATATTGCCCCACCAGCTCACGCACGGCGTCGAAGCAGGGATCCAGCTGGCAAACCCCGGCATGCTGCCAAAGACAAGACCGTTGAAAAGTGGGGAACTTGTCCGGATTCTTTATGATGCGCGGGTCGTAGGCGAAAATTCTTCGTGTTTCTGCCTCCACCTGCTGACCCTCTAAATCCACCACAAGTGATGGCTTCAAGGGCGCATGATGGGTAGCGATGCCCAAGCCTTTCTGCCACACAGGATGATCAGCCAGGTCCAAGGCAGTGCGCTGGAGACGCGAAGCATTCAGCCGCTTAATCTGGCTCGCCTGCAGCCCAGACTCTTGCTCCACTTCGCGATTTGCTAGACTAGTTGCAGCCACCGCCTGACGCGCTTCATTGATCTTATCTGCCTCTGCTTGCCAATAGGACTTCTCCGCTGCAGTCATGGATTTCCACGTCACGCTCATGTTCTTGTTTGACTCCTTGTGATCTCGGCCACCAACTTTCCCGTGCCCGCCCTTCCTTAGCCAAGACACATAACATAACCATGGTCATTGTCATAGTCAGAAGTTGAATCAGCCTAGAATACACCCAGGCACATTCTCGATGCTTGGAGGGCGTTGAAAGCACTCACCTTCCTCTGTCTCTTCTTGCCGGCTGTCTGCGGGCGAGAAAGAATGCGCCTGCAAGCAGTGTGATTCATGCGACGACCTAATGACGCATGACTCGTCACAGCATTGTCCATTCTATTGCCTGACATGTTTGACTCTGACTGTTTGACTGTTTGACCACTGACTAAGTGCCCGGCTGCAATCCTGGAAAAACGCCAGTGCTGTTTCTGCCCTCTGCTGGGACCATGTCTGCCATGTCCTCCGCCTCCGCCCGCTCTCCCTCCTGCCCTGCAGAGCGCTTCCGTTTCAATGACATTCTGGGAGCTGTGGAATCATGCGCGCGCTTGCTGACCAAGCGCATGTACTTGCCACGTGCACCACCCAGACAGTTCTCCTGGGCTGCATCCTTCAAGAAGTTGTAGTCCAGCCCCACGCTCATCAAGTAATTATCAATTGACAGCGAAACGCCTGCTTGGCATTACTGCCCACCATCGCGTGATCCACCAATGTGTTGCTGTGGAGCTCTCGACCTCCACGCTTGAGGCGGGCAATTCCACAAGGATGTCTGCCAGGAGGCGCTTCAGGGAGGCTGCCCTCGCGAGGATCTCATCCGGGCAGTTGCTGCGGAGAACATACTTGTAGTAAACCTGAGCACAGGCGCAAAGCGCAGCATGATTCACGCGGAATTTGCATCAGATTAATTTATTATGAGTCTGAGGCTGGCAAATACCAGTTACGATTCGATGCATCTAGTCACATGCTCTATACAACGCTGGTACAGCTAGCACTGGCGTACTTACCGCCCTTGCATCTCATCAATCTGGGAAAGCCAATGAGAGCCCATTTTCCGGAACCGCTTGCACGTCACAACCACACACGCACGACAAGTGTTGCCGGCCAAAGCTTACCCTCGACCAGCAGCCGTGCGTGGCACCCAGGAGTGTCGCTCACCACTGCTCGCACAAATCCCAACCTATACTTCTCCACTTCAACCCTCTGGGCGCCGCAGCACCGATGGGCTTGCCTTCGCCTCTGCCCGGAGAGGCATATCGGCGACGATGCCAAGACGCGGTGTAGTTGATGAAGCAGCTGGCAAAACCATCACAGTAGATGAGACCCTTGCACTCATGCTCATCTCCACACGCGCAGCTGGCAAGTGGGCTGTCGTCTCGCCCGAAGCTGGTGGGCCGGGCGGGCCAGGCATGGGCCCTGCAACACTCGCGGCTGAAGTTGGCCTGCGGTGCCATGACTCGTCTGCGTCTGCTCCTCGATCAACATGCTGCCAATGGGAAGACGACTCCTCGGACTCAGAGCCTGACCCATCACTTTCAGCATCGGATGTTTCAGGTCGCACAGGCCCCGCAGCTGCATCTGCATCCCCTTGTCTCTGACCAGAATTTGCCGGGCCTGGGAACAAGACACCGCCTGCAATGCCGAGCAGCTGAAGTAGCGACTGGAATCACGTCATCCGAGCTTGAATCAGGGTCAAGGTCAATGGGCGAGCGCGGACGCTTGCCAGCAGGCATGCGTTGCAACCTATAATCTATGCAGAATTCGCGGCCTGTCTTGCAAGCCAACAGCGAGGGTCTCCAAATCTCGACTTGACTTGGGCCAAGCTACGGAATTACAAATGATTTCACCCCTCACCTGCACACTGCGGTCAGTCTACGTCTGAGATACGCCAACTGATGATGCCGAGCAGCTCCAAAAAAGAGCTTGTCCCCGCAGCATGAGCACGCTCCAGCAGTGCTACGCAGCTCCTGCAGAAAGTCCACCGCTCGAGGGATATCCATTGCAACCAGGCGAAACAATTGCCAAGGCAAGCCCGCGTATGTCAAGTGGAGTCGCCGCCAGGTATCGCAAAGGCACGCCAGCAGCAGTGGAGCGCTCTCCGCGTAATCCATCTCCAGTGCTCCGTTCCACTCAGGCCCTTGCGGATCCGCGCGTAGCAGCGCCATGATGTCCCCACAGACACCTAAACCTCGTTGGCCTGTGACAACAGCCTCGTTCATCCGGATCAGGTCTTCATGCTTGAGGGTGCACTTGCTGTTTGCAGACAGCTTTAGCCCCAGCCGGCACAAACGCATTCGTAAGCGCACAGTCTCGATCAGCGAGACCTCATCCATATAGTGGCAAAGAGGCTTCACCAGGAGCGCAGCCTTGGAGAAAGATGCCTTTGTTGCCACGTCAATATCAGCGCAAGTTGAACAACGTCAGTTTCAATCCTATGTCCTAAGTCCTAAGTCCGGAGTCCTAAGTCCTAAGTCTGCCATGAGCACCAAAAAAACCATCAGGGCCAAGTCGCGATGGAATCTGGCGTGGACAGAAGCTGAAGCACTTTGGTTGCCCGAACTTTTTGCTTTTCGGCCGGTGACAAGTCGGCGTTGTCCTCGTCTAGGTCTGCAACGTCTTGGTCCACAACTGCATCATCTGCGTGCTCCTTCAAGGAAGACCGCCACGCGTGCTCAAGCACTCGGTGCACGAGCAAACCTCGCAAAGTAAACTCCGACGCAGGTTCTACGTGCTTCCACCTGTAGAGTAGTGGAGTCTCGAAAGCATCGAGGAGCAGCATCTGAAGCGCCTGTTTCATTTTGGATTTGGCATGCCGCTCGCTGCGGCAACAGCCTGCCTGACACCAATGCGTCAGGTGACCCAAATCACTCAAACTCTGGCTCCAATCCTCGTTTAACATGGACAATATCAGCTCGGCTGCGTCTTCATCCAGTGTAGTCTGGCACACACCAAGCTTGTCGCGGTTCTTGGCCTGACTTTGCTGAATCCTCTCTGGCAAATTTGCGACCTGCATCACCACTGTTTGCGCTGCCATCTTGGACACAATGTTCTCCATTCGACGGGTGTGCAACGAGCTCTTCATGGCATGCGCCATCCGCACGAGTCCTGCAAGTATACGAAACAAGCACGGCGCACATGGTAGGGGTGATGGCGTGTGGCATGTTCTGCGGACATTGCATTCAAAGCGGCTCGCCTGTGGCCACCCCTGGCAAGGCCAAGAGAACTGGCTTGGAGGCCAAGTTGCACTGGTGATGGGTGCAGAAGCCATAGACATACCCTCGGAACACATGTCCATCGCTTGGCTGCGAGAAGATCCTCTGTTGCTCAACGGCATTCATTGCCACGTTGGCTGGTAATGAATCTGTGCCTGCAAGGCAAGCAGGGGGCACCAATCAAGATGAAAACAAGGAAACAGGTGAAACAGGTCTGATTCGATGCGCTGAGTTCCCAACATGTGATAACAGCCTGCAGAGGGATTTTGTTGAGCGCAGCCTCGAGAGAAGGACCACCAAACGCTTCGGAACATTTTTCGCCACCGGCAAGGGCGTGACGATGAAATCTGTCGTACATGGTCATCGCATTGGCCTGCCGGGCTATGACAGAGGTGCATGGCACGCAACGACAACCATTTGATTACATGATAGAGACAGAGAAGGTTCTTGCGCAGGCGCACTCCCAAACACGCCCAGCCTTTGGCAACACTTGCCCACAGCAACGCAGTTGAGCTGTTTGCAACATGTCATCTCCCATGTCCCCAATCCTCCGAATGGATAGACGCTGGATCAATGCCAGCAGCTGGTGACATTTCCGTTTGCCAGCTTTGCCATGTTTAGTCTTTGCCGCCTCCTCATCCGAATCCGAGTTGATCTCTGGCTCCTCTGACCGTTGTGGGGTCAACCAGAGATTGGTGTCATCAGCAACACGAGCGCATATCCAATGCTGTGACATGCGCTGAGTGACGAAGCCCCGGACCGAATCTTTCTGCGCATGATAATGACTGAGTGCTGCCACACCCCGCAAACGGTTTGCAGTCTGATGTTGCTGAACAGCCTCTTGCAAAGGAATGTGCCCGCGATCTGTTGCAATGTTAGCCATCACAGTCCTGAACTGCAGAGTCAGACGTGATATCAGTGATACGATACGATACTGTGGGTTTTTGCCACAGCATTTCGCAAGCACCCAACACAAAACCCAAAACCGCTCAAATGGCTGAAGTCAAGACTCGATTCTCGTCTGTGCCCGCTGCTGCGACCACGACTCCATGCACTAAATCCCACAGAGACGACTCGTAGTCTCCAGCTCTCGGTCATGTCCAAGGTGGACGTTGCACGCTGCAGCTTCTTGCGCGCAATGCCGATGGCCACGGATTGAGAGTGGGCTTTCCCTCTTGGGCGCAAAAAATTCCGCATTCTTTCTGCCGCAGACAAATCATCATTGGCAACATTGGTGTCATTGCATTCATTGCTGATGCTCTGCTCCACAGAAGAACAGCTCTCCCTAGAACCGCCCCTCCTGAGTGATGTCGCTTGGGATTTGGCAGCCAATGCAAGGAGCCGCTGAAACATTGCTGCCAGTTCTACGATCAAGTGATCAAGCCTTAATGATGCCCTGGTAATTCGCCTGCCTGTCCGCCGGAAACTGTAACATGAAGTGACTGAAGTGAGCTAAAACAAATGAAGCTGAAAGAGCGACATGCTCAGAGCCGCATCCTTGCATGGGAAAACATGTCTGACATGCAACAGCCTCAAACTCAAGTTCTGACAAATCTTGGCAAAAGCTGCACTGGGAGAGCGTGCCTGAAAGCGTGCCTCCGAACTCGTAAATTGCGACTTCAAGAGAAGTCCGGACACGTTCTCCAATATTGCGGCCCTGACAGACAAATGGTCACAAGATGTGATCGCCAATCCCAACTTTCACAATTCAGCTTGGGCACTTCGGCTGGTACTGGCGCACATCTCGGCTGACTTCAAAGAACGGCAGCGCCCTGCTTGCCTTGCACACAGCGCTGCAGTCCCAACGCACTAATCCTTGCGAACAATCATCATCCAGAACCCCAATATCAAAAACCCGTCAATGACGCTAAACCGCTAAACTTCGCGCGTGATTATACCAAGCCTGGCTGCATTCCTCTCCATGGAGAACATGCTCTCTATGTCCGCCTCCTGCTCTGAAACAAAACCTGCAACGCGTATATCGCATCACCCGGCGGCTCCTGAGAAAAGAGCTTACAAACAAAGCCCGCTACGTAGATGTCATCCTGGGTGTAGTCCTGGCCAGCAAGAAGTATGACGCGAACAACACAACCCTTTCTGGCCCTTTGATAATCTGAGCGTGGCAGACTGGGTGCCCAGGAGGAGGTAATGATGGACAAGCACGACGGTGAACAGCGCATTGGCCACCTAGCCTGCATGAGCAAAGCATAGATCATGAGCAGGCGAGAAGTATCCAAACGACTCGCGTAGCAGCCGGCCTGGCAAAGGTCATGTCGCGGTAGCAGTGCATGACCGTGTGGTTGGCTAAGAACCAAGCCCTGGCAGCCGCCTGAGTTGCAATTCACGATGTCATGAAAAAACCTTCATGAATTCAATGAAAACTCATCTCATCTCTATCCACGCCACATTGGATTCGGAAGCACATTGCTTCACATAACCGTCATCGCCCAGCAAGGCTAACAAGGCAAAGGATGGTGCCCCTGTTCCAGAACACGCGCTGGACATCACCTTACACATTGCAACATCTTCTTGTATAATCTACCACTCCTTTCCTTACAAGCAAATCTAATTGCAGACTTGATGTGGTTCTCGGAAACTGGCTAAGGGCTTCTCCAGTGGCGCACGCCAACTCTCCAAAATTGTCCCTGCAGCCCGCGCATAGAGCGAAGGCCAGCCAGCTGCGAAATCAGAAAGTTCTCTCTGTGTTCTGCTCCGGCTACGAGATCTAGAAGAACGCCTAAGTACATGTCTGTCGCAAAATCCACGGCAACTTGTCAATGGCAGCGCTCTCTACCTGACAACGACCAATAATGCTGGTAAGCAACCCGTCCGAGGACGAAGAAGAGGAGGCTGTGTCTCCAGACGAGAACCCGCGATACAGCTCTGGCAGAGACATTTCCGCACATGAGCTCCGTGGCATACGATAGCAAATATTCTGCAAAGATTTGACATGATGATACAATCCCTTTACAAATCCTGGGACATCACTTGCGCATGGAATTCATGGTCAAGCACAGAACATAACGTATGTGAACAGATTTGATATGGGACATGCGTCTGCCGAATGCCAATATGCCCCAACAAGGTTGCAATTTGACACTAGAAAGCTGCAACTTGGCACCAAAAAGCTGCAATTTGGCACCAAGAACCTTGCAATCTGGCACCACCATGCTGCCCCAAAATTATGATATTCTTGCCCCAACTTTGACCCCACACGTTGGCCTGTCCGACCCACAATTTTGTCTGCTGGCCCTAGAATGTTGCCTGTTGGCCACATCTTTTAGCTGATTGGCCCCCATTGCTGCCTGCCTGGCCCAGGATCTTACCAATCTGGCCCCAATTCTCTAAATCTAGACTTAAGCATTCTATGGATCATCCAAAACTGAACTTTGTTTCTCAAGGACAGCATTGAAGGTTCGGTGTCAGTTCGCAAGATAACCTTTTTCTCCATCAACATTAACACGCAGCAAACTTCTTCTACCAAGTAGCGCGTCACTTCCTTCGACGGTACAGGTATCACGTGGACAAACTTGCTTTCTTGATCAACCATGACCAAACTAATACACAGTGCATCCTGCACATCTGTCGCGTTTTCTTCGTCTCTCGTTCCGGTGAACTTAAAATCCATGCTGACCAGTGATCCATCACGCTTCTTCTTGGACGTCTCAAAGTTGTCTTCTCTGCTCCTCGCGGCAGTGCAAATCTCACACCAATCTGCTTTCGGAAGGTGCGTTAGCTCGTGCAAAGCTCTCTCTTCCGGTGTCGGCTCGTAAACCGGTTTGGTCCATTCGGATCTCTCTCAAACTCTTTCTGAATTGACTTCGAAATGTCAACCATCGTCTTGAGTTTGTTCTCAGCAGCCTCTTTCTTAAGTCGCTGCCGTTTGCTGCCTGTTACTCCAACTCCAAGATGCTTACACGCTTGCTTGAGCTCTTTCAACGAACTCTCGGGAGTGATTTCAACTCCACCAACTATCATCTTTTCTTCAAATTCATCTTCTCCAATAGTTGGCAATCCTGACTCCAACTTCTCTTGAGCATCGACTTCCATTTTCTCTTTCTTACTTCCAGAGCTGCTCGGCTCCTCTTCTTGTGGCTTCTTTTCCTTTCCTTTCTTACGCTCGTGGATGTATCTCGAAACTTCTTGCGGCGTTCGTTCCAAGATCGTAATCACGACATCTTCGACTTTTTCAAACTCCATCACGTCGAAACCTTGCCATTCTTCGGCACACGCGAACATCTCCACCTCGCTCCACAAGATTTCATCTCCATCGCAGGGTCCATAGAATGCCGTTCTGAACGGAAATTCCATGCTATCTTCTGTCGGATCATAGGTCGTCTTTGTCGACCAATCGAATCTTGCAGGTCTCCCATCTGGCAGGAAGAACCATCCATCTGTCCATTTTTCGCGATCTAAACATTCTCTTAGTCCTTCTTTGATCTCAACTCAATTCACCGTTCTTTTGTCAGTCTCGGCCGGTTCTGGTCGCGCTTCGGCTCGATAGATTCTCACTTCAGTCATTGTCGAATTTCGATGGAAGCTTATCGGGATTCTCGAATTTCCTTTCACGAGAAACGCTTTCTCATGGCTGTAGGGCTCCATACCCCAACCGGTTTTCCACAGTTTTCCTACTGCGAACAGCGGCTGCGTAACTTCTCCGAATACGCAACTATCGATAACTTTCAAAGTTCTTCCGTTCTCCTTCTGAAACTCGAACGTAATGTTTGCTCTTGTTTCTGTAGTTCTTATGGCATTTCCTTGGGCATCTGTGATCATCATGCGCAATTCGGGCAACTCGGTAGTTCCTAGCTCTTCGCTGTAGAAACTCAGAGGCAGGACGTGGCAGTCTGCTCCACTGTCCAAAC